TCTAACCAACATCTTAAGCTCAAAATGACCACTATGGAACTTCGATTCCCCCCACACCCTTGTGCAGTCTCCTTATGCCAAAACCCCTTAACCGCTTTGGATTCTGTGTGGAATGTACTTCTCAAGGCCTTGCCTTTGTAAGCTACCGAATCCTGGTTTTACGATCCTCCAGGTGTTGATCATGCCACTGCCTTCACAAAACTTTTATAAGCATGACTATACTACTTTATCATCATATGTTCCCAACCAAGTTTCTGATAAGATCTAAGGTCATATCCATGGCTTCTGGTTAATCTGTTTTGAAGAACTGTTATTTTTTGGTGACATTTTATTAGGTCTCTAGTTTTTTCAAGAACAATGCATTCTTCAGCCATCTTCTTGTAATTACTTTAACATAATATACAATCATAATCCTGTGTTCTTACAATGCTTCTTCTAACAGTATATGTCAGTAATTTTAAAGCTCTTTAAAAAAAATTTTTTTGAACCAGTTGACCCCTTTTGTAAGCACATCTAGTAAAACTATACAGCTGGGTGGTTCTGGGTGAAGTGGCAGCAGGGTCCCCTCCTTCTCCAATGCCTTTCTGTGGCACTTTCACAGACCTTTAGAGCTCTGCAACATCTAGTTTGAAAACCACTTGCCTGTTATCTAAGTCACAATAAGTAACAGTGGCTTGTACAACACTTACAAATCCAATTTATGCATATTATTGAGTTATAGCTTAAATGCTCCTGGGGCATTCTATATACTGCTTAAAAGAATCCTGATGTAAATTCTTATGTATAGTGAATAACTACAGCTTGGTCTATACATTTTTAAGGTTTAGATTTTCACACACTGAGCTTTCTTAAGGCAAGTACTTAAGGAAGGAATAAAAGCAGTTCCATTTTCGTCAGTTTTATGAAAACAATCACTATTTCGCCCTTCTGTGTGCTCCTCAACCAACAGATGTCACTAAAGACACCTGTACCCAGAGGCAAAAGGAAGAAAAGATTAGACAAATGGAAATTGAGCATAAAAAACATCCAGTTCTTAAAACTGAGAAGTAGGTTTCCAAAGCAATAACATTTATTACACTGCATGCAACATTTTAACCAAAAATTTAAGAAAGAAATTTCTTTTATTAAGTTGCTCAGGCTGAATGGATCATAGCACTAACTTTTGAAATACATGTTCTTGAAGCAATTTAAAACTCATTAGAAATAATAGGCTTGGGCTAGTAGAAAATGTGGTAAAATTTAATCCTCATCCAAATGTTACCTGGGCTGTACAAACAGGAAATTGTTTTGTGCTACTGTGGCTAACCTCATTGCTGACCCTGAGCTGTAACGGCGAGAACAGCTGAGAGCTGAAGCAAAATTAAAAACTTACATCAAAGTATATCATGACAGAATGTAGATAAATAAAACAGCATATCAAAAGTATTATTTTTCTGCCACTCTCAAAGAGCAGCGAGGTGGAGGTATTCCACAAAATGCGTTAACAAATCAGGTGCATCTGGATATGAGTCCTTCCCTCTCTGCATCGCGCAAATTAATGACCACTCAGACACTGTCTGTGAGAGGTGAGCAGAGCAGAAATCCAGTGAGGATGGGGACAGAAGAGATCACAGAATGTTCTGGCCTCTCTCCTCCATGGGCTTCCCCTTCCTTCACCTTAGCTTACCAAAGAAATAAATAATGCTGGCTCTTCTGCGTCTTCCCAGTCACTCTTTACCTCATCTTCCAGACTCCTGGATGGCAACCACATAATCTCCCTCCAATGAGCATATCAGAATCTCCAGAGATAAAAGCATGGGTAGTAAAACATTACAGAAGTTAAGACAGACAAAATCAGCTTGGCTGATGAGGGCCAGCAAGAGAATGAGTACAGGATGAAAGTCATTTTCCCATTATTTTATGTAAAGTGCATGTGTTAATGTCACTGTAGACACAGCTGAAGGGCATTTTTCCACTGAACCTTTGGTCTCCCTTAAATTTTGGGACAGAAGTCACCATATTTTAAAGAACAGTGCTTCATCATAAATATGCAAGCTTCCTGTGGCAACTTCCAAGAGGCAATAAGGAATATGGAAAGACTACTGTCTGAAGTCAGATAGACTTCTAATGGAACTCCCACTCAGCTATTTGCTAACTATGTAATATCTGGCAAATCTCTTAACCTCTCTGAGTTTCATTTTATTCGTAACAGTATTCATAGTAGCTAACTGGTCTAAGGGCTTTACATACATTACCTAATTAAATCTTCACAACGATCTTATGAGGTAGGTATATTATTTTCTCTGTTTAGCAGAAAACTTAAGCAACAGAGAGGCTCAGCAACTTAATCAAGGTCATAGAACTAGTGAGTGGCAGATAATATAATACCAACCTTGCAGGGCTCTTGTGAGGATTCAACGGGTTAATGTATGTTAAATCGTTTAGTACAGCAGCAGACACGTATTAACTGACTAAAAAAAAGGAAGCTACCATTATTATTTGCCCATATTTATGAGCAGAGCCTTAAATTCCTTGTTTTTTCTTCCCGAGAATGCTTTAAAGGTGTTTTCTCTTCCCCCACTCCACCTCCCTTCTCCTCTTCCCTTTTTTCAATTCTCCTTGTATCTCTTCTTCCTCCTCCAACGTAATCCACACAGTTACTTTCATAACTTTTGCTGCAATGCTTTGTCTCTGTCGGACAACCTAATAGGAGACTGGATAGCTTCTGAAGCCCATACATTCAACATGGTTCAGTGAGATTCCTTTTTGAAGCCCACAGATTTGGCATGGTTCAATGAGATTCCTTTTGGTGTCATTGGCTGGACATACATTCTGTCCTAGAGATCCAGTGATAATGGAAGAGGAAGAGGACACTGCTCTTACAGTCCCGTTGCAATAGTGAATGAACACCAAATAAAAAAATACACTTAGTGAAAGAAACTAGATTCAGAAAAAGGGGCAAGAAAGATACCATTCTGATTAGTAACAGTAATCTAACAGTATTTGTCTAGTTAAAGCTTTATCATTTACTAAGAGATTCTTCTACATGCACTGTTTCATGATGGGAATTATTGTTTTCTTTTAAAAAGTAAGGATATAGAAACTCAACACTGGCTATGTCAGAAGGAAGTAGGAGAGTGTGGTCCAAGCAGTGGGCATCACTGAACAAAAAAATGACACTGGTCAGTGCACCCCCATCTGAGGAAGGCTGGCTCGATGAATATAAGAAAAAGGCTCTGGATCAAGGAAAGGCACACTCTGTGAGTACCTATTCCATGGCAGACCCTGTGTGAGGTCCTTTACCCAGTAGTTCAATTAATCTCTCTAATTTTAAGTAGGCAGGCAGGTCAGTAAGTATTTATTATTCCCAATTTTACACAAGAGAAAACCAGGCACAAAGAGGTGTAGGGTCTTAGCTGAAGGTCACTGAGTTGATAAGAGTTGGTACTAGGACTCAAGTTCAGATCTATTAATCTCTAAAACCTGTCCTTTTTCTAAGATACCATATTGTTTTTGGAAAAAGGTCTAGACATACATTGTAGTATGATAAGATAGTGAAAGGAATTAGATATACACTGGAAGTTAGGCAGACTGTGTCTAGAATATTTAATAAGGGGTCCATTTCTACCTTTAGGAAGAAGAATATTTCTACTTTATATCATTCTAATGTGTCTATTTTCAAACAGATGCAGACGTGGTAATGTAGTTGCTGGTACAGATGAAAAGCAAGTTGACTATCTTAAACAGGTGCTTTCTGTAGTCTCTACATTTACAATCTCAAATTCCACAAACCAAATGTGTAATTAAAACTAGGCATTTTAAATAGGACTATAATACATACAGATCTGAGTCTCAGAATGTATTTCAAACTGAAGAGAAAACTTAAAACACTTTTATTCTTTTTAAAAACCTTTTATGGTTGTTCACATACACACACATGCACACAGACACTTAAAGAAGTTTTACAAAATCTTATAAAATCTGTTTCTAGGTACTCAAATATACTTAGAATTGGCTGCTGATTTGAGAAAGTGAGACTAGAAAGGCCAAAAAGAAGACGACAAAGAAAAAAAGCACAGGGAAACCTCTCTTTGGGCAGAGTGCGCTGTACATAGGCAGCTCACAGTCAGCAGTCAGTCAGGGTGCCAAATCTGATAACAGAGGATTCTCATCCATCCTATCCCCATTCCCTGGCTACATAAAGGTCTCAGATAGTTGAAGATTTCATTGATGAAACAGTCAGAATTGGAAAGTGTTAGGGATTATGGTAGTCCTAAGGCCCAAACTGCTAATAAAATTCTAAAAATTTTAGACTATAATTGAATTGGACAATCTTTACTTACTACAATCTGTTTCTAGGGATTCAGTGCCCAAAGGCCCCCACAATAAAATATTTACTGTGTTTTTACACAAATAACACATGCCTTCTACATTTACTTGCCAGCCGTGCCCTCTTCCCATGAGGTACTTTCATAAGCGCCACTATGCCAACTGTTTTTACACGCTGCTATTTAAAAAAAAAAAAAAAAATTAGCATAGTGTACTTATAAAAATATCTTATGGGGGAGGGTGCGGCTGGCAGACAAATGGAGCTAGCACACGTTATTTGTGTAAAAATATGGCAGTGCTCCTCACAAGGATATTTTTCCAAAATTCTGTGCTAGTGACATACTGGCTTAAGTAGTCCTTGACCCAAGATAGCAAACTACATAACTTTGAACAATTTTGAATATGCTCTAAGTTTTCAATATTCTATCTAGTGTATTCTGTTTGCTTACAGACACTGCAATTTTATCCAAAAGAAATTCATCAAGTTGGTTAGGCATGATTTGTAGTCAAAGGCATGATCCTTACTTCTCCTGATGCCAATATGATAGCTACCTGGCTTTTTGCACTCCTATTATCCGTTTCACAAATTTATACAGATATGAAGGTTCAAAAGAACAAAATAACTAACATTTTTCTTTCCTCCAAAGAGACAAAGTTATATTACAGAGACAAATATGGAAAAGGATACTCACCATAAGTGCAAATCATTTTACTAGCTTCTCTGAAGAGAAGAATTCCATTAGGAGATGATACATCAAAATTCAAGCGCTGAGATCTAAGAAATATAGCAAAAATTAGACTACATGTGCAGATAAAGAAACCAAATATAGGTTTAAAATGTCTAGCATTTTCACTTATTAGAACTAGCAGTACAGTGACTGCTTTTTTAAAGTGCCATTCCAGTCAACAAGTGTTGATAAAATATGTATGTTCATTTTCTCACTATAAAGCTACTAGGCCAATTAAAGGAGTTATTTTCATTCATTTGCTGATTCAAAGAGCTCATTCATTATCTGAATAAACTCCTGTCAAAATAATATCTGACATCCTACATCACAGACATTCTCCTACCAGCTTTCAAATTTAGCCAGTTTGCCTCCGTCTTTGAACCTTTCCCATTTAATTATGGCAGACCATTTAAGAAAGTCCCATATACATGACTTGATTTTTTTCTTACCTATAATTTCAAAGTAACAAAAACTACCACCATCACCACCACCATTTAATAGAACATTTAGTATTTTCCAGGTACTTTATGTACTTTGTTACATTTATTTCTCACAACAACCTTATAAGGTAAGTATTATTCTCTTCATTTCATGGAAATGAAGATTTAGAGAAGTAAGTACACTTGTCCAAGGTCACACAGTTAATAAGTGGAAGAGCCAGGACTCAATACAGGCCTGTCAGATCCAAAACTTGAGCTCTTTTTAGAATGCCATGCTGCCTTCTGCCAAAATTTATAGTCATATACCATTCTTATTAAAAAAATGGATGCAATAAATTGTAAATTAGAAGGCAAGATAATTGCATTTAAAATACATAAAAACACATCAATATCTGTCTTCAGGTGAGAAAGTTTTTTCCTGTAAAAGTTATTCTAATGAGTACATCTGAGAATTGATATTTTTAGGTCACTACTACCTAGAGCAGTTGCTTTTAACTTTTTGGGTTATTGACTCCGATGGAAGCTATAAACCCTCTACATAAAAATACATATACACAAACATTTTGCAGTCAGTTTCAGAGCGTTCACAGACCTTAGGAATCCCTGAGCTGGAAGGATTTGTACATCTTTTAGCTGAAATATATGCAAAGTGGTTGATGTAGTAATAACAATAACAAATGTGTATGTTTAAGTTTATATAGATACATGGGTAGACACACATATGGATGAGAACTCACACACTCCTTCCGTGTTTACATGTGAGATCTCCTACAGAGCTCATTACACACTTTTAAAAACAAATTCTAAAGTGATAGATAGGAAATCCAGATCCCTTTTACTGTACATATGCATAATGAATCATCTGAAACTTCAAGCATTTTTCAAACATATTAAATTACATTATAGCCTACAGTTTCCACTGCACATAGCTCAAGTAAGGAGAAATAAATCCCCGAAGTTCTCTGAGAAGAATAATTCTACATCTCTGATTCTCTGATTCCTGACAGGGGGAGAACAGCACAAACAGGTAAGAATTGACATGCTACCCTGACATAATATTTGCCTTTTTAATATGACGGTGGCTTTAGTCGGTGTTGATATGCCTTGTCACTTGTACTTCCAAGAAATAACTGCATATTTTAAAAAAGATTAGCAAAAATATGGAACTAGGTCATAGCAAAGAAACACCAAAAAGCAAAGACATTTGCTAAAGTCCTATTTGCCAGGAATAGACTGAATTGTTCCTTGTCCATGCTTTTTCAAAATGCGTTAAAATTAAGTGCAATTATAAATTATTAGAAATATTATTATGAACATCTTATTGATGACATACAATTTCTGATTAAAGAAAAGAAATGCATGTACATAATTCACATCAAATTCTAGAGAAATACAGACAAGATAATAAATTTTCTGAGGTAACAGATTTTTACTAAGTACAATTATGCTAGATGTTAATTACCTGCCTATGGTAGACATAAAACAATTAACAACAGACAATTCAATAATTTTTTCCTTTAATGTTAAATGTTACTATAGCAGTAAAACATAATATCAATTATCTGGTTGAAAAAATTGGAATTTAATCACAAACTGAATTTTAATATAATATACATAGCTACCCTTCCTTTAATATTTAAGGCACTTATGAAAATGATTTTTAAAACTAACAGCTTTCAAAAGAATGATACTCACATTTGTCAGGTCTTTTTCCTCCTTATGATTTAGAGCAAAAATTTCTACATTACTGCTGTGAAAAACTCAGTATCAGACATAAAATCAGAGCTGCAATCCATACTCCTTCCCTGTATGGATAGCTCCCTTCCAACACGCAGTTTACAAAGAGGAATTGATGAGACATGATGGCTAAGTGACAGGTAATTTGGTACTAAGCCATATTCACAATGATATCTTTTAAAGGGGTAAAACCAACTACCTTTTTGCATTTTTTTCTCTTTTAGCTACATCTTTGTTAGTATTTATATGCAGAATATTTGAATCTCAGCTGGTCTATGCAAATTATAAGGTCAACTAGGCAATTTCTGAGAAGTGTTGTAGTTGCTATTTAAATGAAAAGTGTGAGCGCATAAATCATCCAAATATATGTATCTTGGCACAGAGGAAGAAGCATAAACTAGACTCTGAAGCAGGGACAGTTTCTGGGGTTCCTGGGACAAACTATGTGGCCATGAACTGCTTTGGGTCTCAATTTCCTTATTCATAAAATGAGGTGTCTCAACTCAGAGACCTCTAAATTCCCAGCTTTGAAATTCTACAGAATTGTAGGTAAGCAAAGAAACAGTTAAAATAGCTGCCCTCCCCCATTTTGTGCCCTTGAATATTTTAAGTAAAGATAGCTGCAGTCTTCCAATTTTTTTTCCCCAGATCCCACAGTCCCCACATACACCTAAAAATACTGTACCTCTTTCTCCCCGAAGGTCTCAGCCTCATCTCTCTAATTCTATTATTTTTATTGATCAACTCAAGGCTCTTGCTAAGCCTTGAATATACACAAAACAGGTAGGACAGTCTGAACTTTTGAGACTGCTGCCAGTAGTAGATTTTTTTTTCACTACTCAATCACCCTGCTTACCTGTTTTGCATCAGTTCTGCCATAAGTTTTAAGATGGGAGTTGTACATGCTGGCTCTCCATACCACTGCTCAACAGCCCTCTGAAGAACAGGAAGGTACGTTGGGTACCTTTTATAAAGCCTGCTAAGGATTTTAAGGGTCAAAAGAAATATCATTCCTTAAAATTACTGCCACTTAAAAAGGAAAAAAGGGAACCCACACTTGTTCTAGGTTTAACACACAATGGCAATTTTATAAATTGCTCTCCCTACCCTGTTATACTTTTTTGAGGGGCTGCAAACAGTGCTCTTTTTTGTAACATATCCCATATATTACATTATTCTTGGCATATTCTATAAATAAATGACATACTTTTACAGTAGCATATAATTAATACATTAAAAGAATTATGTTTAATATTATAGGAAAGAAAATAAATTTAGTTAATGAGGCTAAAAACACACTTGAATTGTTATTATTATCAAAGTTTCTTGGACACCAAACTACGTAGACAAAAACTTTTATGAAAATTTTTTAGATACACAGAAGTAGAAAGAAATCGTATAATAGACCACATGTATCTATTGCCCATCTTCGAAACTACCTACATTCATTCTTTATTTTTGTAAGGTGCTGACTTGCTCTGCTTGGTCCCACTATATCTCCAAGGGATATCTGGGATGTTAGCTCGAAGAAAAACCTTGGGTAACTTTTAATCTACTCAAGTGTCGCTAAAAGGTAGTCCCCATGCATAGCCAAGGAGAAATTCTCAAATATCCTCATCAATATTCAGGAGTGTGTGCCTCTGGTAAGTCTACGCCACAGATCATCAGAACCCAGAAAACTCTGACTCAGCTTCACTGGTCCTTTAACCCACAACTAGCCTCTTCCGTGTCAAATGGACACAAAAATAGAGGGCTAAGGCACAAGACTGCAGCAGAAAAACTTACTCTGACATTGTCTTCATTTCCCATTTCTTTTCTCAATCCCTAAAAGTTTCTCTTTTCTTCTGATGTTTTCCAATGTACTTGTCTTTTTGTTTCAGATGAACGTGCTGAACTGAATCACTTAGTGGTTTTTCTTTCCACGTGATATGGGTAGAGATCTCTATGGTGAGAAAGGTCACCACAATTTCCTTCTTGCTCTTAGAATAAACTTCAAACTCCTTAGCATGGCACACAAGGCCCTTTAAGATCTGGCTCTAGCCTACTTCCATCCTCATCTCTTATTACTTCTAAAAATACCGTATCTATGGTTTAGCTATTCAGAACTCCGTGAAAGTCCACTGACGCCAACTATCTCATCTTCATTCTTCTATATGCTGCTTCTTCTGCCTCACCCATTCCTAACCATCTTTCAACACCTAGTTCAAGTTTCACTTCCCAGGGATGATTTCGCTATTCTGTCAAAAGTCACCAATCTCTTTTCATTTATGCTCAATGGGAACTTTGACCACATCTCTCTTAAAACACACTGCATTAGGGTTAGTTGCTAAAGGGCAGAGTTTCTAAAGGGCAGAGACCTGTTCTTCCCTCTCATCTCCTTGCAAATTCCTATCTGTCCTTGAGAAATCAACAGAGATGCCAACTATTCTAGGAAGCCTTCTCTGACACCACATGTGAGACCCACCGACGGCCCCAGGTTAGGTGTATCTCCTGTGTATGGCGTGGTACCCTGTGCCAGCACGATCGTTAACACTTGACTCTCTCTCGCCATTATAAGTTTTTTGAGGGCAGGGACTAGGTACTTATTGTACATATGGCCTTGGCACAATGCAGATACTCAATAAATACGTTATAAAACTGCCAACTTAAAAATGAGGTGTTGCATATTTATTAGAACTACTTACTTAATTCTTTTTAACTGCACATTTCACTTTGAAGCTTCAGGAAATAATCCACATAAATTTCAGTGAAAACAAGCCCTCTAAAACCTTAAGAATGGTATGTACCCCCAAAGTACATAAAGCAGTACTTTTCTGTTTCCTCCCTAGAGACACTATATTAAGGCTCTATTTGTGGATATTGAAACAATTTATTTAACAAGGATTTATTGAGGGTCTACTCTATAAAAAGCACTGTTTTTAGACTCTCTGGACACATCAGTGAACAAAATATTAAAAAAATCCCTGTCCTCATGGAATTTCTATTCTAAAAAGAAAAGACAGAAAATAAAGTAAGTATATAATGTTAGAAAGCAGTACAAAGAAAAAGCAGGGAAAGAGGATGAGGAATGAGAGCATCTGTATGAGGTTTCACTTGGTTGAAAACAGAAAAAATAAACTCAGTTTGCCTGTTGTTAGGTAACTCACTGTTCTGTTTTTCCTATAGACTAGAAAAATCTGTTATTTTTGGTAGATGGTAGATACAATTGCTATGTATTGTACGAGGGGCTGGGATTCTGAGTAAGACATGGCTTTTACTCTTGGGGAGTTCATGCTCCAGTCAGGGTGGCAGACACACAATAGGGATGTATGAATACCGAAATTCAGAAGAAGTGCCAGAGAAGCACAGGTGAGAAAATATCCAACCAAGAGATCTTGAGAGAACAAACCCAGATGCTTTCATTAATGAGAAAGAACCTGGAAGGCTCATCAGGAAACTGGAAAGACCCAAATCTCATAACCTAACAGTATCATAGGCACACACATGCCCCTTTGCAAGGCATTCTAGAAGGTATCAGGGCCATCGTATTTTTCAGAGCATGTGGTATTCACTATGGGATAAGGCCGGAGGATATGAGGGGATGCTCCCTTTTCTGTGTGGAAAGAGAGCGGTGACAATTCTAATATGCTTCTGACAGAGGTGACTGCCACAGAGAAAATGAGTGATTATTGGAAAGCAGAGTAGAAGTCTACTAAGCAGGGAGGTTAAAAGGGCTTCAGAGAGAGTGTCAGACTCTCATTATAGAATGAGAATCAGAACCCACTCTAGGAGTTTAATTTTCCAGTGGCCTTGTGAGGACCACATACATGTGAATAGGAGGAAGAAGGTAGGGGTCCCTCAGGAACAACAGGCACAGATATAAGTTCTTTCACCTAGATCTTCTCAATGAATTCCTAAGGTGCACATTAGACAAATTAAAAATTAAAGGAATTAATGACATTATTACCTTATAGAATGCCAATATATGAAAAAATGAAAAGCATCAGGTTCGCTCCTTACAACAGACATTCATCCTTTCATCAGTCTACCCAGTCATCCACCCATCATTCATTCAGTAGTTACTAGTACTTACTATGCACTGGCCCTGAAGAAAACAGAAATGAGCTAAAATATAATTCTTTCCTTTTGGGAGTTCAAAGCAGAGAAAACATCATAATAAACTAGAAGGCAATAGAAGTGCTTTTGTTAAAACTGTTGGGACTATAAGGGTGTGATGATGTGCTTCCAGTACAGAAAAAGCCTGTCAGTTCAGAGCTTAGTTTAAAGGCACTCCATACACCTATATGGATACATATAGGTGCATACACCTATATCTTTGTTGACGAAGGCGACTGCTGCTGGAAGCCCTTTGTTCTACTCTGTCTGGCAAATGACGATCCATCTTTCAATACCTAGCCCAACTTTCACTTCCCCTGGGAAGCTTTCCCTATTTTGCCAAAAAACACCAATCTCTTCCTCATGTATGTTCATATGGTCCTTTGCATGCATCTTTGTTATAACACACTGCTATTTAGTTATTAGTTATTTGTATATCTGTTAGATTGTGAGCTGCTAAAGAGCAATCCATTTTATTAATGCCTATATTCCCAGTGACCAGCAGAGAGGTGACTGGCACAGAGAAGACACTAAAAAAATACTTAAACAATGATTTTTAAAGTTTACTTCCCTCCCTAGGAGCCCTGGTGGTGCAGTGGTTGAGAGCTCAGCTGCTAACCAAAAGGTCAGCAGTTCAAATCCACCAGACGCTCCTTGGAAACCCTACAGGGAAGTTCTACTCTGTCCTATAGGGTCACTATGAGTCGGAATTGACAGCAACGGGTTAGGTTTGCATTCCTTCCCTATTCCAGTTTGTCCAGTAATACTGCCAATTACTCTCTTCTTGAAATAAAATTCTGGTTTTGTTAGCCACTCAAAACCATCAATGGCTTTACACTACCTATGGAATAAGGGTCTAAATTCCCTTAGCCCCTGTCTTAGTCTTCTAGTGCTGCTACAACAGAAATACCACAAGTGGATGGCTTTAACAAAGAGAAGTTTATTTCCTCACAGTTAAGGTAGGCTAAAAGTCCAAATTCAGGGCATCAGCTCCAGGGGAAGGCTTTTTCTCTCTGTCGGCCTTCTTCTTTTCAGTGTTTCCTTGGACTAAGAGTTTCTCTGTGCAGGGACCCCGGTCCAAAGGACGTGCTCTGCTCCCAGCACTGCTTTCTTGATGGTATGAGGTCCCCAACTCTCTGCTTGCTTCCGTTTCCTTTTATCTCTTGAGAGATAAAAGGTGGTGCAGGCCACACCCCAGGGAATCTCCCTTTATACTGGATGTGACCTGGGTAAAGGTGGTGTTACAATCCCACCCTAATCCTCTTTAACATAAAATTACAATCTCAAAATGGAGGCCA